CGAGTATCCTGTTGGGGCAGATGCTTCTCATTGGAGTTGGCCTCCGGATGGCCGTGGCCTGCAGGGGTCACAGGGGTGGTTGTGGCAGCAGCAGCCTCAGGCTGCTGCGGAGCCTCCTCCTGAGCCTTCTTCACCTCAGAATCAGGGCCTGTCTCTGTTGTCATGGTGACCAGCACGCCTGCATTGGCATGAAGGAGAACATGTGATAGGGAAAGGGGCAGCAATGGTGTGACAGAACAGAGCGAGAGGGGCAGGAACCACGTGCAGAGAGAGACAGATGGAGACAAATGGATGAAGAACCACAGAGAGGAGGAAGGAGGGAGGGAGGGAGGGACAGAGGAAGTAGGTATGGAGAGAGAGTCATGAGAAGTGAGGGGTTAGTGGTGGCAGCTGAGGTCACAGACTCCTCCCTCCCAGCTTTGTGTCTTTATAGTTCCTCAGGGACTCCAATCTCTTGTCCCAGGTCTGGAATGTGGGCCATTCTTAGGGACAATGTGAGTATCTCTAAAGAGCTCCACTCTGCCAAGACCAAGGGACAGTCAGTGATTACTTCCAGGTAGGGCCTCAGCCAGGCTGTCTGTCCAACCACAGTAGGGCCTCACTCGGCTACTGGCACAAAGTAGGCCCTCAATAAAGGATGGACAAACTGAACTCAGCCAAAAGAGCCCTGGGCTCCAGGCCCTCCCAGCACTGACTTGGGCAGGCTCCTCATGCCCCAAGCTTTAATAATCCCTGCTCCACTGACTTCACAGGGATGTTGTCAGCACGGATCCAAAGAGTAAGACAGGAAGGCACTCTTAACAAACAAGTAGCCCTGACGATGTAGGTAGAGGTCAGGAAAACTGGGTTCAGGCCCCAAGTCGACCACAAATGGAGCAGTCACTTCACCTCTCTAGGACTCATCCAACAAGCAAGGGACTTAGAGAAATTATCTCTGGGACAGGTTATTCTTATCATTTCTCCCTTGGAGCAGGAAATGAGATGTCACAGAATCTAGAACCTACTGACTAACTATTCTCTGGAATAAGCAAACTTCAACGAGAGAAAAGGAGAGAGAATGGTATGGTCCCACTTTCATATTTAAAAAATAATAATAATAACCTCAACAATACATCTTTGTGTTTGTACACATGTAGTAAAAGATCTGAATAGACACTCACCAAACTAAGAGAGGTTAATAATTCAGAAGTGGATTTAAAAAAAATGAGAGAGTTCCATGGGGCAGGATAAGAGAGGGAATTTGACCTCTTACTTTATACACTTTGAAATTACTGGTATAATTTTAAATATACATATATATTTTTTTAACTCACAAGTTGGGTTGTTTTAAGAGGGTAAAAGCACCCATTTTGACCCCAATCAGTGGATCTTCAAAAAAAGTTTTGAAATAATACCCGGAGAACAGAGAAATGGGTAGGAACCCTCACCCCTGAATCTAGTGACTTCCCCCAAATCCATCTGTAACTTACATGACCCCAATGCTGACTCTGTGCCAGGACATAAATGAGTCAGGTCAAGGCTAGACCTGGTAGGTCCCTCCCTGACGCCATCCATCATGGAAGGCCTCTGATGGGCAGACAAATCGACACTGGGTCCACCCTTCAAGGTCGCAACCACCTCCAGGGACATGTGCCCCTGTCTCTCACTTCTTATTTGTTATTCAGTTTCTCTCCCTGCATTCTGGGGGGTACCAGCATGGCTCAAAGTAAAAACACTAAGCAGAAAGTCAGGGGCACTGAGCACCCCAATAAGCCACATGAGAGATCTGGGGCCCTGGACAGATCACCAGCACCCTTAAACTCCACTGCCTTGATGCTAAGTTGAATGCTTTGGAAGCTGGAGCTCATAGCACAAATGAAGGGTTTTGTTGTTAACGATGCTGCTATTAAGATGTGAGATGAGGAGGAAGGGAAGGCCCTGGTCCACACTGCCTCATCCCCACCCAAAAATGCTTGCCACTCATGTCATTACCCTGGGCTTTACGGGGATAACTTAAAGCCAGAGTTAAATAAAGGCTCTCTGTCGCTTACATGAAACAAATGCTGACTCCGTGCCAGGACACAAAGCGACAAGAGCTGCACCATGGGAGCTCACAGCCTTGTAAAGTCAAACTGAGACTTGTCTACCTGGCTAAAGATCTCTTCTTAGCCTGCACTGGAGGATACTGGCCATTGTGCTAGATAAGTCCTGTAGGGGAGAACCCTTAAAATAAATGCCTACTTAATTTTGCTTAAAAAAGAAAGAAACAAAAGACCACAGTCTGATCTGTATGTTTTTGCTGTAAGAAGCAGAATCCACATGACCCTCATGGGCTCAGACAGCTCAGAGGCTCTGCTGTATCTACTCCTCCTCTCTGCTTCAGTCTGGTTTCAGCCCATATTCTCTGAACTTTCCCGGGTCTGCATCTTCTTGCAATCTTAAATAAATATCCCAGTCTTCCATTGCTCAGGTCCCCACAGAGCCTGCCGGCAGTGAAGGCCTGGTGCTAGAAGAACCACAGATGAGAGGAGGAGCTGGAAGTCTTTTAAGATAATTTGATCTCTTCTTCTTTTACAGGTGAGACCCAAAGAGTAAAAGAGACTAGAGTGACAGTCGTTTGTCCTCAGACAGGTTTTCTCTGGCCCCTCCCACCCACAGCCCTCCCCACCCGGCCTCCTGACTTGACTCCCCAGATCCTAGCCCCGGGTCCATTCTTCTTTCCATGGTACTTGCTGCCTCAAACAAACCTCAACAGAACCTCCTCAAAGGCGCTGAGGTCCAAGGAGGTGGCATAAGCCACCAACAAGTACCAGAGCCAGAGCTACTTAGATAAAGGATGGCTCTTCCACTCCAGAAAGTTAAAAAAAAGATGATGGGAAAAAATCACGAAAAATATATGAATAAAAAAGCATAATACACACAGTTTGTAGAGACTGACCCTATTTTGATTGATATATATATATACAAAGATACAGAAAATTCAGCAAAGTATTAACTAAGGTTGTTTCTAGATAGCGAGAGTACAGATTATTTTTTCTCCTTTCTGTTTAACTGTAGTTCTCAATTTTTCTACTGTACTTGGAGATTGCTTGATTTAAAATATTAGAGGTTAAAAAATAAAATTTTCCAATGCACATGGCTTGGTATGACAGGATAAGAAAAAGATAGTCTGCTTAACTTTAAAATATTATTTTACTAATTAAAAATAAAAACAGCATTATTATATTTTAAAACCTAGGATGAGATCCTTCTTTATTTCCTAAGTCCAGGGATAATGGCATAGTTTTCCCAGTAGGCTACAGAAAGCAAGCCAAGAACCTGGCTGTGACTTCTGCTACAGCCAGTCACGTGGGCACAGTTCTGTCCAGACCCAGGTCAGAGCAGAATGATGGAGCCCGCTGGGCAGCCAGGATGGCCAGACACTACAGGGGATCCAGGGAGAAGCATGTGTCAATTCCCAAGAAACTCACTGCAATATGGGAGGATGATGATCACCCAGGGAACAGTTAAACACTGGTAATGATGTGACTTAGATTTGCTAGTATATCTTCCTTTCAGGCCCTAGAAGATTTTGGAGACCCAGTCATAGAGAATACAGCCTGGAGTTCTCAAAGAAGGGTAGAAAGTAGAAGATGAGGTAGAGTCAGGTTTTGAAAAAAGAGAATTTAGACAGGAGATTGGAGGGAGGGCATTTGGTCTGAGTGATCATGAGAGCAAATATAACAGGTAGTGCTATGCCAAGGACAGACAGGAAGCCTTTACATCCTGAATCCTCAGGAACAAGAAGCCTATACAGGTGAACTTCAAGCAGCCTGGCAGGAGGGACAGGTTGGAGTTGGGGACAAGTAAAGGAGCTGGGGGTGGTGCAGGTAGGCTTGGAGTCATAGATGTGACTCTGATGGAAAAGACAGGACTCCCATTACTGTGTGCCGCTGTCAGGGACTTCCCAGTCATCTCGTGGACCCCTCGAAGGGCAGCAGGGCAGGAGCAGATCTAAGTCAGACAGACCCAGACCTAAAGCCCGGCTTTGCCACTAGCTCACTCTGTGACGTTGGGCAAGTGACTTCACTT